TCAACGCAACCACAGGTGAGAGGAAGGTGCTTTAATCATTTCTTTGTTACAGGGAGGTGGAAGGATGGTTGGGAACTGGCAAGAGGAGGGGAGCCCGTAGAATGACAAGGCCACACAGGCAGTGAGTGGTGCACGTGGTTGTGATCCCAGGGGTTTAGGAGGCTGAGGCAGGAGGATGGCAAGTTCAAGACCAGCCTCCAGTTGGTGGCAGAAAGGAGATCCAAAACACAAGAGACTCTGGGTCTGTGTATACATTTGGGTTGTGGGTGGAGAAGAAGYGGGTTAGTAGCTCCCCAGAGACTAACTGCTGCCAGAGGGAGTGCATCAGTGTCCTTCCCTTTGCTGAGAGAGGTGGTGTGTGATGGTCTTGGAGTGACAGGAGACTATGGGGGCTGCCTTGGGGCCCTCGTGAGCCAGATACCAGTGAGCATCACCTCCAGGGGTGTTCCGGTCTCAGATGATGAAAAAAGATTGCCATAGCGCCTTCTGCTTCCGCTAGGAGTTGGTTAAGGTCTAAGGCTCCCGAAGGCCGTCCCAAACACCAGGGTGTGTATCTTCCTGCACCCACCAGGATGTGAGGGGCCAAGGCCTGCCCCCTGAGCTCTGTGGGCCTTACATGCTGCCAGCYGGATCACTCTACTCCTCCCAATTGTGTCACACATGGAGGATGCACATTCAGATTATCAGGGACATCAGCTTGATGTGGACAGCTCCCACTCTGTAGATCTACATTGTCCCGTAGCGTAGCTACTGGCTGTCGTGGCTACCTACACGTAATTAAGTTGCATAAAGTTACAGATTCAGCTGGTGAAGGGCTCCCAGGAATCCCTTCATCTTCCACCAGTGTGCCTACCTTGATGGACACTCGGAAACATCCCCTGTGCCTCTTTAGGGGCACCGATTCTCCACATGAGGGCCCAGCCTTAGGAACTGTTCACCTCCTGGAGGTCCCACCTCTTGTGAGTGTCATGTGGAGGATTAGGTTTCAACATATGAATTTCAGGGGAGCAGAGCTGTTGTGGTCACAGTACTACTTAGATGGTGGCCCATGTGTTGGCAGTTCAGTATCCACAGAGTTGGCTAGAAATGCAGAATCTGTCTCCTGCTAGATCTGATTCAGAAATTACATTGTAGCAATCCCTCAGTGGTGTATGYACTCGAAAGTTCTAGCCGCTCTGGTGGAGACCACACCCCCTTATCTACCAGGACAAGCAATTAATGCGGAACTGGGCACTCTGGGGGTCAAGAGTGCCACTGACGGCCACTCTGTACTCTACACCCCTACTCAATTTGGACTCTTCCTGATTTTTTAGCCCCTAACCCAATTCGAAGCCTGTCTTTGGAGGGTCAGACCAACAGCTCTGTCACCCTGAGCTGGGAGGCCCCCAGTGGCCCCGAGCTTCAGGACTATACATACTGGGTGCAGTGCACCGGAGACAGTGACAAGAATGAGAGCCGACACACGACAAGCACCAGTGTCACGGCTGAGGCCCTGGAACCTGGAACCTTGTACCAGTTCTCCGTGTGGGCAGAAAAGAATGGAGTACCCAGCTCCAGGCAGAATCTCAGGATCGCCACAGGTGAGGACCCCCACCGCCCACTCCCTGTTCTGGTGAGCGATGGGGAACTGGCAAAGACGGCTCCTCCTCTGGGCCTGGGCTCCAGCTCTTTGATCCCTGGTCTCCTTGGCCCCACGGAGCCAGGACTATGGGAGAGATGTGGCCACACCTGGGGAATGGCTCTGTCCTAAAGAAGAGGAGCGCTTGTATAGCTGTCCCCTGCCACTGGGTGCCGGGCTTCAGGAGCCCAGGCCACTGCAGGCTCCATGGCTAAGAAGCGTCCCTTGACCAGCTGAGCTGCACAGGCTTGGGCGTGAGTGGGCTCTGCGCCCCCCAGGACTAAGACTGTGGAAGTCCTGACTCTCTGCTCCTCCCACCAGTCCCTAATGCTGTGGCAAGTCTCGGAAAACAGGATCAGACCAACAACTCCATCACCTTGAGCTGGACAGCTCCTGTGGGCCCCCCTCATCCCCCGTACACCTACTGCGTCTCCTGGGTCAAGACGGGCAGTACTGCTGCGTCCCGCAACACCTCCGATACCAGAATCACACTGACCGCGCTGGAAGCTGGGAGCCTGTACAACGTCACCGTCTGGGCTGAGAGGAATGAAGTCAGAGGTTATGCCAGTACCCTCATGGAGGCCACTGGTGAGACAGGGTCCAGTTCTGGTCCCAGCCTGACCGCCATGGGGGATGGGAAATCACGGGGGGACTTGAGAGCTTCTGGAGGTAACGAGAGCTCCACAGCTATGCAGTCTCCCGGCAGCGTGGACTTACAGGCCATTCTAGGAGTCCAGCAACCAGGGGTTTGAAGCCATGGAGCCTGTCTTTCCTGCCTTTGGGAAATAAGCTCTTTTGGATGGGGGGAGCCAGTACCACCTCCTGGGAACCGAGAGTCATCAGCTGGACTATAGCCAGCAGATGGTTCCGGTGAATTTGATGAACAAAAGGGCTCTCAGCTTGCACATGGAGACTCTCAAGTCAGAAGAATCAAAATTACTGACTCCAGAGACTGGGTTCATTGTTGATGGATGGAATCTGGGAGCATTAAACCCTGGGTTGGCCCTTTGGGCTAACAAAACTAAAGTTGGCAGCTCCCACTAGCAACCTGGTATGTCCAGGAGTGAGAGGTTTAGATTTTGTGGGCTGAGGTGAGTGGACCTCAAATCCCATCATGCCGTGGGGTCAAGACTTCATAAACTACAGTGATAGAGTCCAAGGGCTCATGGGAGTTGTAGTTTTAAGGGACGTGTTTTTCTTTGGGGAGAAGAAAAAGGGATGGAGAAGACCCAGGGGTGTAACCAGGGGACAGCAAGAGCTCAGATGATGCGGGTCCTCACCAGGCCACAAGTTTCTGAGTTCTTTTCTGTGGTCTCTAGAGCCATGGATAAGCGGGGCAGCTCAGCTTTGCTGTGAGCAGGAGGCAAGCAGATTCAGGGATTCAGGGAGAAGGTTCTTTGAGGATATACCCACTTGAGGCTCCGACCTCACTTCTCAGCTTCCAATGAGGTCCTACATCTGAAGAATGCAAGTCAGACCAGCAACTCAGAGACCCTGAGGTGGCAGGCCCCCGCAGAGCCTCCCTCTGGGCTCTACACATACTGGGTGCAGTGGGCTTGGGAGGAGCATCCCGAGGGAGCAGGATCCCGCCCGAGACTAGACCAAATCGATGGGCAGGACAATGAGACTTGGTATGAGGGGGCAGCCCTCAAGCCTGGTATTCTGTTCAACTTCAGTGCGTAGGAGAGGGAGAATATACCAGCTCCACACACAGCCTSTGGGCACACAGGTGACTTGCCTTGCCCACCCTCACTGTGGAGAGGGCAAGGGCCAGGAGAGGAGCGTGGACTACAGGTCCTTTAGGCCCTGGTGTCATGTCTTTCTAAGCTGCAGTGACACCAAGTCCAGGGTTTGGGGTTTAGTTTGAGGGGACTCACGTCCATTTGGGGAGAATAGAAACTGAGGGGAGATGAGGCATTCGAGCCTGTGGCTAGTTCTGGGGACAGGTATGACTGGTGGGGTGGCTTGGAAGGCATGTCGGGTGGCCCCCACTGACTCCTYTCCTTCCCTTCACCAGCCCCAGACCCTGTCACCATCACCTCCTGCGTCAGCACCTCTGGGGGGTATGGGGTCATCCTGACCTGGTCCTGCCCCTCCGGGGGCTATGAGGCCTTTGAATGGGAGGTGGGCGGGCAGCGTGGCTCCCAGGATGGATCTTCATGTGGCAAGGACGTGTCTGTGCTCGGTCTTGGGCCGGCTCAGTCCTACCGGGCCACCGTCACAACTATCTCAAATGGAATGAGGGCATCGTCTGTCCCCAAGACCTGCAGCACCGAGAGTGCAGGTGAGTGGGAGTGGGGTGGCTTCCGGGCCCTGCTGTGAGGGTACACACAGGGCTCTTTGGTTTGTCTGTTTGTCTTTTGCTTCCTGATTTCTCTAAAAGAACTTTATTGAGATATTATTCACAGAACACACAGTTCTCCCAGTACGAGGCAATTCAGTGGCTTTCAGTGCATTGGTGACATCGTGCAAACATCATGCATTCATCCCCAAACACTGCCATGCCCTGAGGAGGACACTCTGTCCCCTTAGCCATCACCTCCTAGATCCCCGTTCTCAACCACTGAGCCCTAGACAGCCTCTAACTTCTATCTCCATAGATCTCCATCTCCAATATGTTTCCTATCTCTATAGATTTGCTTCCCTGGATGTTTTATAAAAACAAAATCATCCATTACGTGATCCTTGGGACCTCCACTGAGCATAATGTGTTTGAGGGTCATTTGTGCATGAGCATGCATCAGTACTATCTTTTTATTGCAGAATAATACTCATGGAGGTATATACCATGTTGTTTTATTCATTCATCAGCTGATGGATCCTTTGTGCCATTTATACCTTTTGGCCTTTGTGATCAGTATTGCTATGACATTTGTGTACAGGTTTTTGTGTGGACATGTTTTTATTTTTGTTGGGTATATGCCCAGGAGTGGAATTGGTGGGTCATATGGCAACTGTGTTTTTTGTTTTATTTTGTTCTTTGTGGTACTGGGGATAAAACTCGGTGAACATTTAACACCGAGCCACATCCTTAGCCCTTTTTATTTTTTATTTTGAGACAGGGTCTTGCTAAGTCACCAAGGCTGGTCTCAAACTTGCGACCCTCCTGCCTCAGCCTCCCAAGTTGCTATGATTACAGGCGTGTGCTGCCACCCTGGTGTGGTACTCTATATTTAACTTTCACATTTTTACCCAAAGTGACTGCACCATTTTACATTTAGCAATGGTGCTTGAAGACGTTTGCAGCTTAGACTTTGAAAAGTCTGATCACGTGTCATAACTGTGGCTGTAGCCCTCGCTTTGCCCTGTTCATCCCTTCCTGGAGTCAGGGTGTCTTCTAACAGTGGGCCTCCAGTCTGGAGAGAGAGTGACATGATGATACATGGATGCCACTCCAGTCTGGGCTTTGCCAGATTCCATTGCTCAGCACTGTCCTCCTCGTAGCAGCAAGGGTCCCTCAGAGGACAGATGCTCTGCTGCGGTGTGGTAGGTCCAAGTGCA